ATATGATAATGCCGGCCAGATAATTTTACCTGGGATCATATTAAAAATCCCGCGCGGGCTCTAAAATAATCCCGCGCGGAATCACGCGCGGGATCACGCGCGGATCACGCGCGTGCCCATCTCTAGTGTGAATAAAGTGAACACGATGAATCATTCAATTCAAAGTTGAAAGAATTCTTAACTGAGTCTGCTATGTCTTTTTAAATATTCGTATATACATATACAGTATGATATTTGTGATCATGTTACCAAAATCAAATTTATGCTTTGAACCGTGATCTTATCTTATTGTTAAACTGATTTTCATTGAACAGAGTAGACCATAACTTCCTGAGAAGTTTTCCAGGAAAGCGATAAACAACACTGTGATCTAGATATGGCTTAGATGTTAGCATTGTTATAATCCATGAAATCTGAATAAACAAAAAAGAAAAGGGTTCATTATGTAGACAAGATTATTCATTTTTCAAATACAGATTATTTTATGTAGAAATGTAATTGAATAATGATCTACTGTATTTACAAGATGGCTTTATCACTTCTAACCCAAGTAAAAATTTTTCTTATAAACAAACTAAGCCATTCGAAATTCTAAGAAGCCGCGATATTTATCATTTGCTCAGAATTGTTGAAATTATCGTCGGCGTCCGCAAGAGTAAAAGCCATGTTTGAAATATACATATTTCAGGCACGAGTGCGTACGTACGTACGTATTACGTGTACATATTGACAAATATCTGATATCAGATATTACGTGTACGTATTAAATAAGCATTATTATAATAATGACGTTGAATATTATTGGTTGTCGACACGTGATGGTTTAGGATTGACATTTTTTGCTTGTGTCGTAGCATTTAACAGGGCTTATGCTTTTTTTCTAAGAAATAACGCCATCCAAACAATCTACGTAGAAATGTTATGTTATCGTAAATTAAGGAAATTTAATAAATAAATATTTATTAATAAAGAAAATCGATTTTATCGAACGACTATAATCTGTTTTCGAAGCTGCTACACTAAAAGCCTCATTAAAGAATTTAAGATTTTAATTACAATTAGAAAGATGCCCATTTTTCATTTAATACCGTTAATTATATAGAAAATTCATCATCTTACATTATTAGCCTCATTTAAAAGATTGCACAAATAATAACTTTATGATTTTAATGATAAAGAAACAATGTATACGTTCTATGCGCTTGATAATTTCACTAGTAAGCATAAAGCTTTATTTATCATGCGATTAGGTAAAGGAGCATAATTCATTATTATGTTTAGAGATACAGACGAATCGTGGTTTCACCAATAGTGATGAAATTATTTTACCATTGTTAATTTCGTTAGAATTTTTTTTAATTATGTTCAACCAATTTCTAAAATCAAATGTTAACAAAATTTATGTTGAAATATTAAATCAACTATGTATTAACCAAAAATTTATATTAATACATTAAAATATGTTAAACGATACGTTATCATAAGAAATCTATTGTTTTGAGGTTATCTAAATAAAATAATAATAACAAATCCAAAGCCTTAGTGGCGTCCTTTGAGTTAATTAAACAGTAGATTGTTATTACACTATCTCTATCAATACTACAGTGGTTCGCTAAGCATCAAATAAACTCCTTATGGATTCTTGGTAAATCTTATGGGGAGAAATATTTATATAAACCTCCGAATTTCTTCCAGCTTAATTCTTCACCTCAAAAAGTGACCTTCAAATAAAAAAAAATAAATATATAAGTAATAAAAATAATAATAATAATAATAATAATGAAGGTCTTTTCCATCATCGCCGCTGTAACTTTATTGGCTTCGGCTGTAGTTACAGGTAAAAAATAATACCATAAAGTGATAATAACAAACGTAAAATTAATATTTCTTGCTGATTTTTTACTTTTTTTATTTCAGAAGCCAAACCATACTACTACGACAAACGTGATGCGTACTACTATGAAAAGCGTCAAGAAGAACGTGATGCCAAACCATACTACTACGAAAAGCGTCAAGAAGAACGTGATGCCGAACCATACTACTACGAAAAGCGTCAAGAAGAACGTGATGCCGAACCATACTATTATGAAAAACGTGGACCATACTATTACGAAAAGCGAGAACCATACTACTATGACAAACGTCAAGAAGAGAAACGTGATGCTGAACCATACTACTACGAAAAGCGTCAAGAAGAACGTGATGCCGAACCATACTATTATGAAAAACGTGGACCATACTA